CTTCCCTCAAATTATTTTAATATTATTAAACTTAATAATATAAAAATATTAGTATTCATTTTTTAATTAATTGTTTTTTATGGATGTCCTTCTGTAGAATGTACTCTAGATGTGAATTTCAACTGAAACAAACAAAAATATCATATATATAATCATATATAATCATTAATCATAATAATATAAGGTAAATGTCCCAAACCAGATAACAAAATGTACAGTGATATCATAGTGCATATGTATAAGCGTGCGAATTATTCGCACGACGTGAATGTATAAAACAACATTTATGAAAATGTAATAAATAAATTCATAATTCCTAAAAAATAATATATAATATAAAATGTATTCACTATCATTGGCGATTATAACGTTAAGAAGTTGCGCGTCTATGCCAAAGATACAAGTTCAAATCCACTTACATATCGAATTTTTAATTGATTACTATCTGTCGACAGGCAATGGCAATCAAGAAACGAAGAACATGTCATGTACTGTAAATTGAGGTTACCTGTAATACATGTACTCTGGACGCATCCATATTGTTAAATGTACAACTTCACGAGCTCTATAAAGCTGGCAGGACCAAATGAGCAGAATCAAATCGGATCTATTGGAATTTTTAGTACTTTTTTTGTACTAATTTGTACCATAAAAAAAAATTTTGTACTTTGTGCCGTTTTGGAAAAAAACGTGGCGCTGCCAGATTAATATTAAGCAGTTAGGACCAATTAAAAAAAAAAAAAGAAAAATAAATAAATAAATAAAGAAATAAATAGTATCGAATTTGTACTAATTTGTACCACCAAAAGAAAGTCTATATTATGCGTCATTTCCCAGAAAACAGTGGCGCTGCTAGTTTAATATTTAAGCTAGCAGGACCATAAAAAAGAAACAACACAAGGGCAAAAATGAACAAAACTGAATTTATACTAATTTGTACCACTGAAAATAAGTTAATATTTTACACAAAACCTATGTGAATCTGCGGCACTCGACTTCAAGAAAAAAATATTTTTAATGAGCATTAAATTAAGTCAAGCATTTTTGTAAGTCAAATGTCGGATTTCACATAGGTGATCTAATGATGGCTGGAAGATTAAAAATAATTATACAGTTTACATATCCGATACAAATTATATTATAAATGTTATAAAATAAAATAATTACAAGAATACATATAAAGTACGAAAAAAAAACATAAACATTCATTGTTTTTTATAATATATTAATAACGCTGGAGTTACTTCTGCATTTTCTTTAATAATTTTTTCTTTTTTCTCCAAATCATATTCCACCCATGTACCTGCTTTCCAACAAATAGCTGTGTAATGCCCCATTGATTGTACGCTTCTTGTCACTATAGGATTTTTATACCCAACAATGCCGAGTAATTTATATATATTTTTTTTGAATGGATTTTTGCAGGATTTTTTAATTAACGAATTGGTGTAAAATAAAAATTAACGAATTGGTGTAAAATAAAATAAAAATTAACGAATTGGTGTAAAATAAAAATACATATAAATTACTCGGGATTGTTGCATATAAAAATCCTATAGTGACAAGAAGCATACAGTTAATGGGGCATTACACAGCCATTTGTTGGAGAATAAGTACATGGGTCGAATATAACGATCTGGACAAAAAAGAAAAAAATATTAAGGAAAATGCAGAAATAACGCCAGCATTATTAATATATTCTAAAGAATAATGAATGCTTATGTTTTTATTTTCATACTTTATATATATGTACTCTTTATTTTATTTTGTAACATTTATAATATAATTTGTATCGGATATGTAAACTGTATAATTATTTTTAATCTTCCAGCCATCATTAGATCACCTATGTGAAATCCGACATTTGACTTACAAAAATGCTTGACTTAATTTAATGCTCATTAAAAATATTTTTTTCTTGAAGTCGAGTGCCGCAGATTCACATAGGTTTTGTGTAAAATATTAACTTATTTTCAGTGGTACAAATTAGTATAAATTCAGTTTTGTTCATTTTTGCCCTTGTGTTGTTTCTTTTTTATGGTCCTGCTAGCTTAAATATTAAACTAGCAGCGCCACTGTTTTCTGGGAAATGACGCATAATATAGAATTTCTTTTGGTGGTACAAATTAGTACAAATTCGATACTATTTATTTCTTTATTTATTTATTTATTTTT